ACAATGAGGGGTCTTATGTTATCAGATATTAACATATATTACAAGCCCAGAGCAATAAAAGCAGTATAATATATGTGCAAAATCAAGCAAAACAATGGAACAAAATAGAGACATCGTAAGTAGGCCCCATGTATGTATGGAAACTGAAAGTTGACACCACAAAATAATGGGAATGCATGGCCTCTTCAGCATATAATGTTGGGAAAACCGGCTTACTCTCTGGAGAAAAAAAAAAATTGGATCTATACCTAATATGAAATGTAAAGGTAGGCTCTGAAAGACCTAATCCATAAAAACCAAATTATAAAATCAAGGGAAGATAATCTAGGAGGTTTTCATTGTGACTTTGGGGTTGGGAAAGACTTCTTAAACAAACACAAATTAAAAGATGAAAAATTAATGAATTTGCATGAAAACAAAAAATCCTGCTCAATAAAAGACCATTTGGACAAAGCTGACGGGCAACAGAATGGGAGGTAACACTTGCAAAGTCTGGAACAAGCAAAGGACTTATTTTTTTTTAAAGATTTATTTATTTATTTAAGAGAGAAAATGAGAGAGAGAGAGCACATGAGAGGAGAGAGGGCCAGAGGGAGAAGCAGACTTCCTGCTGAGCAGGGAGCCTGATGTGGGACTCGATCCTGGGACTCCAGGATCACGACCTGAGCCAAAGGCTGTTGCTCAACCAACTGAGCCATGCAGGCACCCTGCAAAGGACTTATTTAAAGAAAGCAGTAGCTCATGGGTATTAACTAGAAAAAGAAAAAATAATATTAAGGAAATGGGCAGTTATTTCACAGAAGAGGAAGTCCTCCAAACCCTTACTTACTAGTAATTAGAAAAATGGAACCAACAACACCGTGAGATCTCTCTTTATGTCCATTGGGTTGGCAAAATTTAAACACTAAATAATGCCAAGGCAAACCTTGAGTCCCACTCCTGGGTATGTATCCAGAGAAATTCTCACACGGTCCAAGGCAGGACAGGAAAGAGGGGTTTGTTGGAGTTTGTCAGTTTGAAGTAGCGATAGTTGGGGGTAATGTAAGTGTCCATTGCTGGGGGATCGGATAAGGAAAGGGTGTTGGAACAATGTGCAGAAGTTAGGAACAGTGGACTAGGTGTACACACAACAAGATGGATAGATCAGAAGAGAGCACCACGTGAAAGATGGTGCCATACCTTATGTAAATAAAAAATTTAGGTTCACAGAAAATCATACATTTAAATGAAGGGAACTCCCCAGACACATTAGAATGGTTGGAGGCTGGAGCAAGGAGGTAGAACCTAAAGATACAGACTATAAACAAAGAAAACTGGAGAAAGTTGGTGTGGCCAACACTGGGAGTGAGCCATAAGGGAGGGACTCTGTACCTGAGCTACAAAATGAAGAGGAAGGAAAACAACACAACAAAAAAGGAATGAAGCATTAGGAAGAGAAAATATAACGCAGAATAAACGTGTCATAAAACAAAGGGAATTTTGTATTTGGTGCAAAACCAAAGCTCAACCCTGCATTCTGAACATTACACGCAAGGGACATGCACAGAGGGAAGTGGCTCGGAAAATCAGAAGTAGAAGAACCACCGAAGCTCATCGAGGAAGGAGCCTGAGGGGCAGCGGAAGAGAAGAGCCTGCTGTGGATGGGGAAACTCTGAGCTCTCGAACCTCTGGAGTTAAAGACCACAGCGTCCACACGCTGACCTGTGGGCCGCAGGAGGTGGAAACAGACCAGTGCAGGGAGAAGCCTGTGGGTCCACCACAGATGAGGTAGATAAAGATAAGGATGCATGAGATCCGAACAATGGGATGAGGACAGAGACCCTCAGGAGTTTATGCCGAACTCTCAATCCTGAGGACAGAGAAGTCACTTTCTGTTAAGAACTTGTAGATGATCTATAAAAACTGATCGTGTCTGAGGTCCCCAAGGAAACCTTTAAAAATCATAAAGGTAATTTAAGTTATTTTAAAAATCACAAAATGAGGGGAAAATCCTTTCGTGAGGTACTTTTTTTTTTAAACGCTGCTTTAAATCAGCTTTGAGGTCAAAGAAGAAAAAAATAAAACTGTTGTTGTAGACCAGAGAATAACAGTAATCGAAACACTGCATAAGAAACTGACCCAGCCTTGATATCAAAGCTTTCCACAGAAAGAATCAAAAGCTACAGACAAACGCTCATTATAAATATCTATGCAAAATCCCCCATAAGATGCCATCATATGGAAATCAGCGGGGAATTAATATACATCACAGGCAGGGAGAGTTGTGAGAATTGTTCACTATTAGGGCATCTATTAAAGTAATTCACTGTATTACGTTAAAGGATAACAGAAAGATATTTTCAAAATTCAACATCTACTTCAGATTAAACAGTAAATAAAATTCTTATTAATTTTGGATAGAAGGTAATTTCTTGATGTTATAAGTGCATATATCTTAAATTAAAAGCCAGCATCATGGCTAATGGTGAAACACACAGCATAGCAGTTACATTTGGGAACAGAATAAGGATGCCTCTTATCCTCACGGGTACTTGACACTGTTCTGGAAAATCTGGCCAGTGCTTTTGGGGAGAGAAGGAAACACGTGCTCTACCATACAAGCAGAAGGAAGCGGGACTGTCCCATCTGCAGATAGGACCATATACCCGGAGACCTGAGGAGAGTAAATGACACTTAGCGACGACAAGAGAATTCTGTGTGAGCCAGGTCCACAATCAGCTGGTAAAACCCAGTAATTCATGACGTCTAGGGGGTGTCTGGGTGGTGCAGTCTGTTAAGTTTCTGACTTTTGATTTCAGCTCGCGTCACAATCTCAGGGTCGTGGGATCAAGCCCCAAGTCCGGCTCCATGCTCAGCCAGGAGTCTGCTGGAGATTCTGTCTCTCCCTCTCTCCCTCTGCCCCTCCTACTGCTCATGCTCTCTTTCTCTCTCAAATAGATAAAAAATTTTTTTAAATAAAACAAACATCTAGGAAATATGATGGGCTAAAAATTCTATACAATGGGTTCAGTAGTTTAAAAAGTCTAAAAATAAAATTGACAAGAAATAGGTAGAACTTAAAAGATAAAAAAAAAAATAGACTCTAATGACAGATCTAAACAAAGCCAGAATAAATGGTGTGATATAGTTTGGCCTTGGGCTGGAAGATTACATTGTAAAAATACCAAATCCTCCTACAGGTAAGAGGACAGTCTTAAATTATGTCTGCAATCACAGTTAAAATACCAATAAATCTTCTGAAGCTTTACTAACAATATAAGGAGCTAACATGTAGAACCTAGCCCATAATATGGGCTCAGTAATTATTTATCAACATAGGTAACTAGTCTGGAATATATATATATATGTTTTATGTCCAATTTTGTTCTCCTGATATCCACCCAGATTCAAAACTTAGTTACTAATGTCCAAAAGGAACCACCCACTCAAATGTTTGTTGAGACTTGACATGAGTAAAGTTGAGGGGCTCGCAGGGCAAGTTGCCCCCTGAAGCATGTGGTTTCTTCCTTCCCTTCACTCTGCACACCCGGACGCAAACCCAATCAAGGTACACAGCAAAACAAAGGGTACTTTTGAATCAGGATTCTCCTTCTTGAGAGGGCGGTCTTAGCCTAAAACCTACGCACATGCACACGCACACGCAGGTCTGTAAAATGTCTGTTAACATTGTATGGTTAAATTTAATAAGCAGTATAGTGATACTAGTTTACAGTACAATAAAGTCAAAAGTATACCATCATTCAAATATACTCATGTGTTCATAAAAATGCTTTAGAAGAATCAGCATATTAACAGCAGTTACTTCCAAATCTTAGAATCCTGGCTGATTCTTTTCTTTTTTATCTAATGTGTTTTATATTTGTAATTTAAGAAAGTGTTTTAAAAAGAAATTTTTTAAAAGTTAGTTTCTTCCCAGGACACTTAGAATGGAAATGAAGGGACGCCTGGGTGGCTCAGTTGGTTGAGTGTTTGACTCTGGATTTCGGTTCAGGTTGTGATCTCAGGGTTGTGAGATCAAGCCCCACGTTGGGCTCTTTGGTCAGCATGGAGTCTGCTTGAGATTCTCTCCCTCTGCCCCTGTCCCTCCCTGAACTTGCTCTCTCTTTCTCTCTAAAATAAATAAGTCTTTAAAAAAGAAAAAGGATGGAAATGAAGTGCCCACATTTCTAGCAGATATAGGGCCCATCTCCTTTGTTCTGTCCTCAGGAGCAGCTACGTCTATCCAGGGAGAGAGCACTGGGATCCCCAAAGATCTTTGGGAAGACACTGGAAAATCTGGGCCAGGGCGTCACCAAGTTTGGCTCCTCTGGGAGCTGGATATGTCCCCAAATACAGGTGGGGTTGAGGCCCTGGGGTAGGAGGCATTTTGGAGTCCTGCTGAGGGGCTTTGGGAACCACAGGTGAAGGGTTCAAGTCCATCCAGCGCTGGGGGCCACCCAGGCCTGAGAGGTCCAAAGGGAGAAAACCTGCCAGTCTTCAAGAAAAAAGAGGCAAGAATGCTGCAGAGAAAAGTAAAAAGGTGGTAAGGAGGGGACGGTCCAGGAAGAGATTGTCCAGACAAATCAGGGGTCTCCCCCGAGAAGTGAGGCCCAGAGTAAGGAAGAAGGCCAGCCCGAGCCCCAGCCCCACCTTCCAGGTGAGACTGTCCCAAATCTGCAGTCTGGAGCACGCCCGGGACTCCTTCCAGACAGAAGGTCTTTGTAAGTGGTGAGTGTTTGGTCAGTCCCAGTTCCATGAGGACGCTGGACCAGTCATTGTCCCACTTCTCTGACAGAGATCATGAGTGTCAGAGAAGTTTGCTACTTAGATGGCTGGTGAGTGGGGGAGACAGGCCTGAAGCCCCGCACAGCTGACCCCAAATCTGGATCCCTCCCCATACCCAGCACTGATGCGATGTCCCTGAATGAGCCGCAGGCCTTCACATGCTTCTGACGCTGGGCATCGGTCCAGTGGTTCTGAAGACCGTCTCTCCACAGGACTCCCCGACCCTGGTCCCCGACTCCCGGCCTGAGGGATTGGGGTGCTCCACCAGAGCGGGGGCTGGGATTGGGCAAGTGGTCCCACCGGCCTCCACCCAGGCACAAGCGCTGTGGAGGCTTTGGGATCTGTGCCAGGCTTTCTTGACTTTACCTCCGCCCTCAGGGAGCTCTGTCCTTGATGGTTTGTGGCCTGGTTTCCTTGATGGACCCAGAGTCTTTCCGACTTCCCTCCCGCCTTCCAGGGTCCGTGTCCCATTGGAATCCCAGGTCAGAAACAGCACCCAGATCTTCCCCAGCCAGCATGCCTCCGATTCTGGGATCGATTCTGATGAGCAGAGTTGTTTCGGGGAGAGGCCTCAGAAGAGCTGATGGGATTGCAGAGCAATATGAGCAGTGTGGCCCGGATTAAAATCACTCAAGTCCTGGAATTCTGAGGCCTCATAATCATTTCCCTGGTATTATGCCCCAACTCACAGCCACAAAAGCATCAGTGTTCTGTCTTTTTGAGATGGCAGATACAGGCTAATAATAGAACGCATAGGAGAGTCCTTCACGACCCTGGACTAACCTCACATAAACTCTGGTACTGTCCCGACCATTCTCCCATAGAGAAGGAGGGACAGCTCTGAAGGAGGGACAGCTGTGGTGAACAGTGAGGTGACCTGGAGGTGGTCATGCAGAGAGTGGGGAGAAGGTTCTCAGAGCTGGATGGCCGGTTCCCACCCCAGGCCCTGCCCTCACCTACCTTCACACACTGCACCTGCATCCACACTGTGATCACAGTCAAAGGTCTCAACCTGCTCACATTCAGCCAGCATCCTCGGTCCCGTTGCAAGGGCCACTTGAAGAAACACGGACTGGTCTTCCTCTGCCAATGGCAGGTACAGCAGGCCTGCAGGGGTGTGCTTGGCCACTCCGCAGACCAGCTCCCGGCACACCACGGCCACATCCTTCATGTCCCAGCCGTCATCACACACGGTGCCCCAGCTACCGTCCCGTTCCATCACCACCCGCCCTTCGCAGCGGTGGGGACCATTTGTCAAGTGGATTTTGGATGAGGCTCTGCAAACAAGAGGGGTTGGAGCACACTCAGAAATGTGGGAGGGAAACAGGAGAAGCTGTTTGGTGGGGGTGGTGTGGGGTGGGGTGGAGGGCTTGCTGACATAGGGAATCCGTCTCCCAAGGGCAGCCCCCACCTAAAGAGCCCTGGGAAAAGCAGCCCTGCATTCTGAATACAAAGGAATATAGGGACATAGGGATTTATGCTTTGATTCTCAGGAGCTCAGAAAGATCTCAGAAAAGCAGAGAGAAGGCTAGAACTAGGTCTTCCCTAGAGATGAAGCCTGGGGACTCCAGCATTCCGGTGGACTGAGCTGCCTGGTTTCTTCTGAGAGCTGCTTCACACCCCATTGGTGACCTCACCCATCCCAAGGCTGCTCCTTCTGCAGGGGGGCAAACACGCCACAGGGTCAGCCTGCGCTCTGTCCATTTCTTTGTTTGCTTTTCTAAACTGGAGTGATTTGTAAGGAGGCCTTTTCTGGAGGGTCTCCAGCAGAGAGGAAGGATGGAGCCCAGAGCTGTCAGTGACCAGCCTCCCTTCTGAGAACAAAAATGATGGAGAGACACAACAGAAAGAGGGGTGGCAAAGGACAGGACCCTAAGAGCCAGCCGCGCACTAAGCCACGTCCAGTCCCCAACTCTCCCACCTGCTGCACTTGTGGTTTTTTCTGGCTCAAGCCAGTTTGTATGGCATTTCTATCCTTTGCAACCAAAGTGCCCCATCTGACATGGTCAGTTACCAACTTCACAGCAGAGCTCCTGCAGAAATAGTAAACCTGGAAGAATGACAGGTAGCATATGAATGTGATTCTCAGAAACTCACAGATTGAAAAGATGAAGCATATATAAGGCGCCATGGAGACTGACTAGATAAGCAACCAGCTTCATCGGATAGAAAAATAAACACCAAACTTTGTATATCCCAAACAGAAAATTCACATTCTTTTCAAATTCCATATAGAAGGGCGTCTGAGTAGCTCGGTCAGTTAACGATCTGACTCTTGGTTTCAGCTCAGGTCATGATCTCAGGGTCATGGGATCGAGCCCCATGTCAGACTTTGCGCTCAGTGGGGTGTCTGCCTGAGGATTCACCCTCTCCCTCTGCCACTCCCCCCGCTCGCACTCACTCTCAAATAAATAATAAAAAATTTTAAAATAAATAAATAAAATAAAGTCAAATTGCATATATAGCATTTACAAAAATGACAACTGTGTGTTAGGCCATAAAAACATTTTTAGTAAGTTCCCCAAAGTAAAAGTCATGCGTCTATATACTTTAATCAAGTTTAACCACAAGGACAAAGAAAAAATCTATAAGAAATTAATGAACTAAAGGATAAAAGTGAAATCTATTCATAAGGAATTGTAAGTCTCCAGTTACAAAAGAAATGAAAACCCATATTCCACATAATTTAGAAATTAAACAAATGAAAATGTTAGACATTGAAACTTATACAGGGAGATGCAAGCAGTACTTAGAAGAAACATGTGTTTTAGATGCATTTACTACATGCAAATAAAGATGAAGAGTAAATAAGCATTTACTTGAGAAGTTAAAGAAGGAGTAACATAAAATAAGCCTAAAGCAAAAAGGAGGAAAACATACTGAAGGTGAGGGAGAAGATGAACTAGAACTAAATGAACTAGAAAACCAAAACCCAAATAGATTTGAGTTATAAAAGTGCACCTGAGTCTCGAGAAAGAGCCATAACATAGACCCTCGTGGGCCTGTCTGATTCAGAAGGAAGTCACGCAAACGGAACAAAGGATAGAAAAATTAGAAAGACTAATAAGAAAGCAGATCTGATGCTGGGAGTCAAGATCTCACAGGCTTGGGAAGTCCTTGCGGCCGATTCCAGAGACGTTTCAAGTAGCACGTGAGTCCAACACAAAACTGTTTAAAACAAAACTGCTGCAGACACAGCGACCACGCAGTGCTTCTGAAATCATACCTATGAGGCTAGACTCTCCCTGATACCAAACCCAGAAAGTCACGTAGCTACTGCCCACGAGGACATGGTGACTAAGAAGGGCTCAGCAGGAACCCGATGACTTCCCAGAGGAGGACCCCTATAATGCACGTCTCTACAGTGATGCGTTAGAGGGGACACGTGGTGTGACCACCGCGATGCTTCCTGACCCTAGCCTCCAGCTCCACCTTGGGCCAGCGGCAGGGCGACCTGGGAGAGGTACCGAATCTAAATCTCATTTCCTCGTCAGTAAAATGAGTGTTGTTATGGAGGTTGAGTTTGGATCCCGGAATTTGTTCATGGTTTTTCCACCGTTTCCTGAGTATTGACGAGGTTAGTTGGGGCCGGGTGGGTGGGGTGAAGGCCCCTGCAGAGCACAGCCCCAAGAGCTGAAGACCAGTTTCCTGACCACAGGATCACCCAGCGCAAAAGACGCTTGGCATAACCGCAGCTGGTCCTCTAGAAGGAGATACGGACATGTCCTACCTGTGATGCTGAGTGGTACCGCCTCGCTGCGCTGGGCCCCCAGGCCATTGTTGGCTTCACAGGAGTAGTTTCCAGAACGTTCTGGGGTCAGAGAGAGGTTGAAGGATGCTCCTCCTCCAGAGGGGGCCGAGCTGCTCCCCAGGGTGACATCCTCGTGATAAAACCGGTACTGGATCAGGGGAGAGCCGCTGTGGGCCTCGCAGTGAAGCTCCACCACGTCCCCCACCGTGGCCCGGGTCCCAGGTCCCGGGTGCCCTGAGGGTGAGGATGGGGCAGGATGCTGGGACTGAGGGAGACAGGGCCAACGTCAGAGAGCGTCTCTCCTGCTGGACGGCCTTACAGCCCACTCTGTCCTTGTCCCAGGTCCTTGCAGGGTCCCTCCAGCCCATGAGGGATGCCTTGTGTCCCTCTGTCCCCCTCCTCTAGCTCATCGCCACCACCTCACAGATCTCCTGCCGTGTTCACATGGCTTCTTAACCACTTCACGGCCCGTCCCACGTCATCCTTGGCACATCCTCACTGTCACAGAGGGAGACTGCTGCAATCACTGGCTGATTAGGAGAGCGCTGCTCACCTGTGACGGTGACGTTCAGGGCCCCGCTGCGGGCCAGGCCGTGGCCATTGTCCGCCGTGCAGTAGTAGCGACCCGCATGGCTCTCCCCGACAGCAGGGATCTCCAGCTCTGCTCTCCGGGAACGCTGGCGCTTGCTCCCCACACTCTCCCCCGTGTCCTCTCTGTGCCAGAAGAACGTGGTGTCCCCTGTGCCTTCAGCCACGGAGCAGACGAGGACCAGACGCTCCCCTGCAAGCACCTGTCCCCCCTGGGGCTGGGTCTCCAGGAGCACTGCCGACACCGGGATGCCTGCGTGAACGAGACAGGGC